GGTGATCAGGAAGCTCACAGAATTGGTTGATTTTGGTTGCAAATTAAATGAACAAATGCAGGTTACCATAAAAGAAATGAAGGAAAATGCATAGGGAACCAATAGTGATGGGAAGGAAACTGGGACTCAAAACAATGGAGTGGACCAGAAGGAAGAAAAAAACAACCAAAGAGGAAAGAATGGAGAAATAAGAATTCAAAAAAATGAGGAGAAGCTTAGGAACCTCCAGGACATCTTTAAACATTCCAACATCCGAATTATAGGGGTACCAGAAGGGGAAGAGGAAAAGCAACAGATCGAACACGTATTTGAACAAATAATAAAGAAGAACTTCCCCATCTGGCAAAGGAAATAGAATTCCAGGAAGTCCAGGAAGCTCAGAGAGTCCCAGAGAAGTTGGACCCAAGAAGAAACACACCAAGACACATCATAATTACATTAGCCAAGGTAAAAATGAAGGAGAGAATCCTAGAAGCAGCAAGAGATAAGGGGACAGTAACCTACAAAGGAGTTCCCATCAGACTGTCAGCGGACTTCTCAAAAGAGACCTTACAGGCAAGAAGGGGCTGGAAAGAAATATTTCAAGTCATGAAAGACAAGGACCTATATCCCAGATTACTCCATCCAGCAAAGCTCTCATTTAGAATGGAAGGGCAGATAAAGTGCATCTTGGATAAGGTCAAATTAAAGGAGTTCATCATCACCAAGCCCTTATTTTATGAAATGTTAAAAGGACTTATCTAAGAAGATAAAAAGAACACGTATAGTAAAAGGACAGCAAACTCACAATTATTAACAACCACACCTAAAGCAAAACCAAAAGAAACTAACCAAAACTAGAACAGGCACAGAACCACAGAAATGGAGATCACATGGAGGGTTAGCAACAGGGGAATGGGAGGAGGAGAGAGGGGGAAAAGGTACAGAGAATAAGTAGCATAGATTGTAGGTAGGAAATAGACAGGGGGAGGGTAAGAATAGTATGAGAAATGTAGAAGCTAAAGAACTCATAAGTATGACACATGGACATGAACTAAAGGGGGGAAGCGGGTGGGAGAGGGTGTACAGGGTGGAGGGGAGTGAAGGGGGGAAATGGAACAACTGTAATAGCATAATCAATAAAATATATTAAAAAACTTTTAAACAGAGAATTATAAACAATCATGTAATCTAATTCTGTTCTGAACACATAGTGTAATAATGCTTATTAAGATTGTTCAACCAGTGCTTTTTAACACCACATATTTTCAAAATGATGTGCTAGATATTCTGGGAAATTATAAAGATGCACAAGTCATGTGTCTGACAAAAAAGAATGTTGATTATCTGTACAAAAGTGAGGAAGTTGAAGATAAACTTGGAGAATTAGAGACGTTCTGGGTGGCCCTTGGTTAGTACTGATTTCTATATGGTGTTCAATGCTAATTCTTTCACCAAACATTGTCACCAGTCAGGTGCATGAGCTTCTTTGGACCCTTCTTAGACTAGGGTAATTTCTCACTTCTGTCCTCACCCAGGCAGCTCAGGGAAAGCAGTGGGAAGAAAGCTAACAAATTGAAACTTGAATTTTTTTTGTAGAGCAGGGGAGAACTGTCAGTTTGGCCCTCAAAAGTCCATATCATCAACATAGTTGGGCTTTGGTAGATTTAAGTGGACCCTTTAGGAGATATCATAAAAGTGTATCCAAGGAGTTTGGAGAACAATTTTGAAGGTGAAAGAGAAAGGGAAGTTACAGTCTGGTGGAAACAAAAAGTTCAAATCTAGAAATCTGAATATGTCTCCAACTTTTTACTTATCTCCCTACTTTTTTTACTCAGTGCTAAGGAAGAGAATCTTTAAATACTCTTCTTGAATTAATTGAGCCCTTACATCAGCCACATCATATAGTAGGTAAGCAGAAGCAGATTACCTAGAGTGGGTTGGTACAACTTCAGGCTTTTGTGTAGTGGCCAAGAGCACTGGCCCAAGAGCTAGATGGCCTGGGTTCAAATCTATTAAAGCACTCAGTCCAATTATTTAAGGGACCTCCTCCTTACTAGCTGTAAGATGTTAGGCAAATTACTTAACCTTCCTGTATCTCTCTCTTCATCTAAAACTGAGAAAATGACAATATGTATCTTATAAGGCCATGAGGGTTAAAATAGCTAATAAATATGAAGGGCTTAGAATAGTGCCTGCCATACGCTGAGGGTTTCATCAACTGTTATTGTTAGGATATCTCTATCCTACTGTTTTTATTAGGATAATTTACTGTGGAAACCTGTCAAAGAGTAGTTTTCTGGCCTAAATAGGATTCTGTCTTTGGAGAATGGTCTCCTAATTCTAAATAGGATTGGGTATAAGTAAGTAGACTGATAGAAAATTTTAATTCTTTAATTTAAAAATATAGTCAATACTTATATACTTAACAATAATAATAGCTAACATTTGCTGAGCTTATACTATGTACCAAGGGTGTTTCAAGTCCTTTTTACCAATTACTTTAGAGTTGAGGGGACTGAGTCATTGATAGAATAAGTTACCTGCCCAAGGTAGTAACAACTAGTTAGGGTCAGGGCCAGGATTCAAACCCAGGTCATCTGACCCCGTAGCTCTCACACATCCATTATAATAACCCTTCTTTTATGCAGATACATACTGTCTTTTAGATCAGTTTGCCAAAATGTTTCACTTCATTTACTGCAAACATAAGTTAAGTGCAAAACACTACAAAAATTAATTTTGTTAAATCATTTAAGCATAAAAAGATTTCTTTTTCTGTTGTAGAGATAAGTTGCTTTGGTGTCACATGTTAGAGTCATTTTAACTGTGATTCTTTTGTTCTTTGAAGGTATAAGATTTTGAGTTGGATTTTACTAAGGTACCCAGGTGCAGTATCCATTCTTTACATCTCAGCTACATATTTTTAGAACAGTATGTAAGTAATGTCACTTTGCATGCATTTTGCAGAAATAGCTGCTTTTTCACTATATTTAAAGTTAAAGCATTAAAATTGTTTGGGTCATATCAAATCCTAACCTATGAAATGCATGCTTTGTAAGATTTGAAAATGGAGAACATTGTGATAAATCAAGCTTTTCGTATTCTTCAGTGTAAAAAGACTATGCTGTTCTAAAAGTTGTTGATCACTTTGTTGTTCTACTTCATTGGTGCTAATGCAGCACTATCTGGGCTTGTTTTTGAAGAAAACTGGGCAAAACTAATTTGCCACTAGATGGAGCCCTGGCTATTTGGGTAAAAATAAATGCAACAGCATTTGAACATTAAATCATTCAGTCATATCATGCTGGAGGGCCCCCGGTGGTATTTGAGGCCCTCAGCTTTTAATTGTAGAATGAATCTTTGTTCTTTGCCTGACCTGCAGAGTGACATCACTCCCTTTCTTCCTGTGCGCTGGCTTTGACACAAGCCAGATGGCTGCAGCCATCGGTAGGCGTGCAGGCTGCCTGGTACAGCAGTTGATGAAACAGAATAGGAAGACGTTTTATGATCAGCTGCAGGAGCACAATGAGGCTGCAGCTTTGCTAAGTAATTACATTTACCGTGCACACTTTATTCCTTGCAAAGAAGGTTGCAAGGAAAAAATACATTTTTATTTATAGTGTTGTGAGGTATAGACCTTTGATCTTTTATTAGTCAGTAGTCTGCTCCAAAGGAATGCTCTCTTTTCCCTGCTCTGCAATCACTCGTGAAAATGGCATGTTTATTTACATTTAATGGTTCTTTCAGGCTGTGCATTGTAATACTTACCTTTCCTCTTCTTCTCTTTTGTCTCCAGTTAGTCACACAGAAATGTTTTAGTTTTGTAGTGAGCTTAGTTTGGAGAAGTCAGAGTTCAGGCATGTTAATACAAGCAGATTTTTGTCAGATATATTCCAGAGTGATTTGGTAAAATATATTACTGTTTATTATGTGTTTGTTCTTCAAGGAGGTCAGAAGAGACCAGGAACAGGCTTTTATTTTGGGGGGATAAGGGTCAGGAAATGAAGTAGACATTAATTTTATATCCATTTTTGAAATTTAGTGGTTAAGGTCACTTGCAATGCCAGTTTTAAATAAAATATTAGAAGTTAATATTAATCTATTATTTTCCATCTTCACTTGAAGTTAATCTTTAATAACTGAAAGATTGTACAAAACTTTAAACACTAACTGCACTTTTTTCCTAAAGTTTATCACACAGTTTTGAGATTCTTTTACATGACTCATTTTGAAAAACTTTAAAAAATATTTTCACCACTTTTAAGACTAAGTTGTGAATATTATTCACGGAATAGACCTAGAAATTATAAGCTATGAAATCAAATGAAAAATTTGTATTCACTATGCTTTGTTCAAACTTAACATTGTTTCTAAAGTGAAGTCTTCTAGTTGTCCCTAGGTTATTTGGCTCTCTATTAACAAAAAATGAAACTCTAATAAAAGAAATCTCTTAATCTTACAATATTTTACAGTCTTCTCCAGGGAGGGCGATTTGCAAAAATTGCTGGAAGAAAGCAGTGTGGTGTAAAGAAAGAACATGGCTTTGCAGTAGATATAACAGGGTTTTCTAATCCTTTTTCATTTGTTATTTGCTTTGTGCCCTTGGACCTTTGAGCCTCGATTTCCTCACATATTTATTGGGGGATAAAACCTACCTCCTAGGTTTATTGCAAGAATGAAATGATACAATGTGTTTATTAGGCCCCAGACAGTTCCTGTCACATGGTATGCACTTAGTAAACGCTAATTCCTTTCAACTGTTACAAAGTTCATCTCTTTTCTGAACTGCATGCAAAATGGGTTCACAGTTTACACTATTATAGTGTGTCTATTTTATTCATAAAATATAAATAATCCTGGGTTGAAAGTAAGCTCACCATCTGAAAAATAGGCATTTGAAATTTATTAGCACTGTGTATATGTGTTCAGTTCCAGATAAAACTGTAACCATGAATTGTGCCATGAATGTGCTTCACATTTGTGATGTGTTAACTTTTTTCTTTTTTTCTCCTACTCAGCTCTTGCCCCTGTTCTTTGCCTCTCGTTTTGTTGGGGAAGATATCACAGTGATGTCTGCATTCAACCTGCTGCATTTGATGACAAAGAGCCAGCCAGTGTCCCTGCGAGCCTGTGGGCTTCCCTCAGGTTGCTGCTTCTTGTACTGTACCTAGTGAGGGCACTGGTCCCTGTGGGTGTTTCTGCTGCAGGAAATGATACACCATAATGCTTTGCCAAATTTCGTTTTCTTTTACTTGGGCCCTAATTTGAAGACGGAAATTGGTTATAAATCACCACTCTACTTTGAGTAACATTCATTTCCACAATCCTTACAACCCTTGGAAACATTGTGCAGTTCCCTAGCTCAGAATATAATTGTCACTAATATTTCACGATATCTTCTTGTTCTTTAATGCACACTACACATCTGAAAATCATAATGTTGTTCATAAGAGGCTGGCAGTCTTGATAAGAAACTGCTCCAAATTACACAAAATAAGACATTCATCTTGTTAAAGGATAATGACATCCTTTTAATTTCACATGTGGCCATTCCTTTAGGAAAGAAAAAATGAAAAAGAACAACTTTAGTATAATAAAGTTAGTTATTATAGTTAAAAAGAAAAAATGTTCTACTTAACAATTACCAAATCAACAGAACTAATATAGTATGTGTCAACTGGTTCTTAAATTAGAACCAACACTCTTTTAAGAAATGTGATTTTATGCATGGAAGTCCAAAATTTCATTATGTGCTTGTATAAGTTTAATACTTTCTTATGAAAATCACAATGGTCAGATATTTTCTGTGAACTTTATTGTCAATATTATTTATGTTTTCTATTAATGTACATACATCTATTACTATTTTGTGTAGAGAATTTAATTCCAACTCATTAAACATTCGTTGAATATTAACTGTGAGTGCCAGGCATTGTGTGAAGCAGTGAGGATGCAGTGATGAACGAGACCCAGGTGATTGCTTTAGCTGGTACAGGATGGACGTGGAGTGTGTGAGCACTGTTGAACCACATTGTGCTAAGACTAGGCCAAAAGCATTTATGCCTGGGATGTTAGGGGGAACTGAATGAGGATGGTCCTAGCTCTTTCCTTAGGGGAAGAAATTTTGGAAGGTAGGGAAGTTCTCTGAAGTTTAAGGAGGGCCTCGTTAAGGATATAATGTTTGAGCTGAACTCAGTCTGTGAGCAGCAGTTAGCAAAGGGTCCAAAGAGGGGGAAGGACAGTTCTAACGTATGGAGTAGCATGGGCAAAATATCAAGGCTTGAAAAAGCAAGGTATGTTTAGAGAAATGAGACTATTTAATATGGCTTGCTTGCCTGGGTGAGGCAAGTAGTAGAGGTGAGGAAGAAAGGTAGCCACATGAGGAAACATCTTATCTGATGTTTAAAGGAATTTAAATCTTGGGCAAGAGATAAAGGGGGAATGACATGACTTGATTTGCATTTTATGATTACTGATTTAGTATGGTGGAAGATCAGTGCTGGTTCCAGATGTTTCTTTAAGAAGACTGGGATGGCCACTTGATTAGAAAGGGGGATAAGGCATTTGTCTTAAAGCTGTGTTTGAATAGTGAACATCTTTTTGTTTAGAAAATAGGTTTGATGTCTATTTCTGGTGACATGAGAGGCTAATGAAGCTTAATGCATGGGGGCCCCCACCAGAGAGCCTCCCCCAGCCAGCCAAGCCCCTGCACTGCCACTGGAATGTGCTGGAGGCGTCTGAGGCTGGAGGGACGCATGAAATGCTGGGGGCCTTAACAGTTGGTCATTACATCAGCTTTGGAAAGGCGGATGGATCAGATAGTGATTCAGGTTGTAGGACTGACAAGGTTTATCTGTTGAATTGTATGTGAGTTTGAGGGAGAATATTGACCAATGTAGTCCCTGTGCCATGTGGAGTTTTTCATTATGAAATCCTTTAATTCTGTGATTGTCATATCTCGAGGAATACTCCGTTAATCAATCGTTTCTGTAAATACTTAGCCTCTTCTGTGTACTGCAAATTCATAAAAACTATGCTGGTGTTCTCACATGTTGGGTATTTTTTCAGGAATACATGGTTACATATAAATGAAAAACCTTTCATGTTACAATTGTTATATGTACTATATATTAAAGGATTTCATAATGAAATTCTTTAACTGAGATATATAAATTTGTTTAAACTTTGATATCAAAATGATTCAAAGATAAATTAACAAGCTGATAAGGCTTAAGAAGTAATCATTATAATACAGTGCTTAATCACCCCACTTCTGGAGTTTGACTGGATTTGAAATCTGGCTTTGCCACTTAACTTAGCTGTGTGGCTTGGCTTCCTTATTTGTATTATTATTTGAATAATAATAATACTCACCTGAAAGGATTGCTGCAAGAATGAAATAGATTACAGTGTGAAAGCTGCTTAGAGCAGTGGCTGGCAGATAGCAAGCAACATATGTAAATGTTCACTAAATTACATATATGTATCACTATATGTATATGTAACTGACATATACATATCTATATCTATCTGTATTTGTAATTTTCTAGTACAATAGACTTTTCAAAACATTTAAGTTTGTCTCATCTTTCACTTCAATATTTTTTAAAGATTTTATTTATTTATTTTTAGAGAGGGAAGGGAGGGAGAAAGAGAGAGAGAGAAACATCAATGTGTGGTTGCTGGGGGCCGTGGCCTGCAACCCAGGCATGTGCCCAGACTGAGAATCGAACCTGCGATGCTTTGGTTCGCAGCTCGCGCTCAATCCACTGAGCTATGCCAGCCAGGCACTTCAGTATTTTCAATAGGAAACACAAATGCACTTTATGTTTGAGAAATAACCCTTTTAGTATGTCATTTTGATCTCTTTAGTTTAATTATATATCCTAATGAACTGAAATTCAAATCGTGTGAATATACAACACATTTCTGTTAGTCTTACCCTGTACTTATGGAAGCCCTGAGAAAGTCTCCATCTTTTTGGCTTGCAAACCCATTTTAATTTGATAAATGAATTGGCCAGCACAGTATTCTCTAATTCCTTAGCCAGTTAACACCACTTACTTTTAAAGTGTTATCAAAGTCAGTCTTCTGGTGTTTACATTGTAATGAATATTAGCAAAATCTTTATCTATTTATCAAACAGGATTTTACTTGTAGAAGTATAAAAAAGTTGAAGAAATTAAGTTCAACAATAATGAAACAAACTATTTCAATTTTGAAAATACAAATAAAATCTAATGGGAATTCTAGCCCTTATTACTTTGTACAGGTAGGGAGGGATGAGGTCAAAATTGGAGATATAGGGAATTAAGGTGAAAGTTTGAAATCTTGCTTTAATTTACTATTCCTGGTCAAAACCCATTACAACAAAAATCTCTGTAAATCAAAAAGATTTCTGCTCCCAAGCCAGTACTCTACTAATTTCAGGTATTATTCAATACAAAATAATTCCAGAACTAAAAAATAATTGGAACAGTCTCTCAAAGTTGATTATAACTGGATTGACCTGTATGAAGGCCACATCCCAGAAGAGTGATCTATCATTTTTCAGCTTTGACTTCCTTCTTATTTTTTAATAAAGCATAATTTTAATTTAGAGCTTATTAAGTGCATCTGAATTATGGTTCACTCATGTTTGTAATTAAAGGTAATTTTTCTCTCTCAGAATTTCTTCTTAATATCCTGGAACAGTTTCTTTTATGTATTAAAAGGAGCACTGGAATAGGAGTCAGAAAACTCTAACCACAGCTCTGTAATTAACTTCTGTGACCTTGAACATATCAGTAAACTTCTCCAGATCTTAGTCTATCTTTAACATGAGAAATTCAAATGAGATAATCTGTTAAATTCTGAAATTCTGTGACTTTCTTAACTGTCATTTGCTTTTACTTTTGGCTTTAGCTAAAACAAATCTGAAAACTCAGCACCAATCCATGGCTGGAAATTCACAGAGAAGGCTGCTGGGTGGCATGGGAGGGCAGGACTGTTTTCCTGTTTGAGCACTGGAGTCCTACTCTAGTCAAGCCTGGAGCACTATTGGAGGAGGGATTAAGAGGCACAATTTTATACATAGTTTCAGTGCTTGATAAAATTTAGTCTAATTGTAGCTTAGACTAGTTATCATGGTAGTTTTCAGCCAAGTAAGAGTATTTGTCTACATAGTACTAATTACTGGGATAAATTATAGTCTTCTCTAACATCATACACATAATATGTAGTTGTTGTTCTTACTTGACTTTAGTGGTAATTTTTTTCTAATGTAGAAGTTGGAGGTCTTAGAGATATTTTGCAAATGGTATTTGTAAGTCATAGAATATAATCTATGTAACTAGAACTCTCTCTTAGTCAGGGACTTGTGGCTCTAGAGCTTAGCACAGTGCCTGGCACTTCATAAACATTTGTTAAATGAGTGAATAAACATTTAGAAAGTTTGCATGTAGGTGAAATGATAGCTATAACAGATACAAACTTATTTGAGGCTCTTTTATATGGGAAGATTAAAAGTAAGTTAATAGTTTGGTTGTCTTTTGAGTGAAAAACAGTTTTTCTTCTTTCACTTCATGGTATTAATACAACATGGTGGACGTCTTAGGTCTGAATCACATTGTAGCTACACAGATAACAAATAACACAGATTCAGTGCATATTATTCAGACTTGCTTTTACTTTTTTTCTCAAACAGTTTGAGTTTTGGTGGTAGATAACCTGTTTGAGGAAGGGAATAAATGCCTGTTATGCTTATTATGAGAATTAAAAATTCTGGCTCATTTGACCACTTTTATCTGGAGCAAATTAATATTGTTTGTTATGCTCTGAATTCTCCATTTGTAAAGAGGAAATGTTTGTAAGGAGATTTGTACTAAAGCAACATTCATAAATAAGAAGTACTACTTACTATTTAAGTTTGTGCTGGCAGTAGTTCATTAATGGTATTTGATATTATGTTTACCTTTTAAGAAATAAAGTTATCAACATGCTGTTTACCTACTAAATACTTGGCTTTCTATTTTAATTTTTTAAAAACCTTTTTTGTCATGAAAAGATGAACCATTTCCATGGTTACTTGATAAAAGTTACATATGTGTACTACACACACTTTTTCATATAATTTCAAATTTTTTGTTAAATATTCTGAAACTCTT